TTATTCTTCTCATGCCAATTTATGTTATCACGTTCTAGCAATTTATATTTTTAACGAATATGCTTCACTTATCTTATTTTCTAGTTTTATTTCATCTGACCTTACAACAATACATATTCATATTTCCAAATTTTTTAATCTTGCTACCGTCTAATTATGTAGGTCTATGGTGTGAACAGGCTGCTAGCCAAATTGATAGACATTCATTTACGTCAATGTTTATGTCCCAAATGTTGGTTGTGAGAAAATATGAACAAAGACTAATTCAACAAACAACCACAGCAGACTTTGCGTAGGCGGATGCAGTTAACATATAGATGACCTGACATTCAAGAAACAATCACAAAGAGATGCAAGGTCAACTTTCTGTGAGAAACAACTAATCACAAGTGTGTGTGCTTGCTTGATTGAATAAGCTATAATAATGTACATGAAAATATATAAGTATGTGTTGATTTTCTTAATAAATGATCTGTTGCCTGGCTCTTGTCTTCTTTTGTTTCACGTCTACTAGACTTTTTGTTCCTTTTTTATTTATTTACTCATACTTCTAACCAGTGTGTGATTCATAAGCATCTACACTAATATTATCTCACTCTAGTATTTCCGCTCATCACCGAATTTTTACGCACACGCATACGAAAGAACTAATTATTACCGTCCAGGGAAATTCATATATGAATATGGTTGTACATCTATGAAAATAAAGTCATCCAAATGAGAATTGTATTTCTTGAAATCTTTGTATATTATTAATTTAAGCATCATATTGACTGTGAAGCCAAATTTTGTGTGATGTTATGTACCCCAGTTACAACAAACACTGGTGGAAAATAAAGGTTGAATGGATTCGACTTTTTCGTGCAACAACCTGCAATTTGTGTCAATACATTTAAGAGTTGCTTTTCGATTTACAAATGTGCGCTTTCACCATTATAATGCTTTTTATTAATTTCTTTTTGGAACATATAAGAGGATAGGCTTAAAACTTCTACAATTTCGTTGGTATAAATCATTCAGTTTAGGGCGACATTTATTTATGGGTGAACTCTTTGTTAGTCCAACGTGTCTCAACGCTCCCCACTCACGATCTGCTGTATGATCCAGTCTAAAACCACCACCAGGATTACCGTTGATAGTAGTCAGCTTTGCTTCACGTCCTGATTGCAACTGATTGGATAATGCGACAGACAACGGCAACCAACGAGGGAACAGGCATAAAATGGACTGACACAAAAGACTTGGAGGATCTGGATTTCGCCGATGATATATGTCTGATTTCCCATAAACTGGAAGATATGCAAGTGAAAAGCAACAAGCTGGCAGAAGAAGCATTTAGAGAAGATAGGACTACAGGTGAACATAGATAAAACAGAGATAATGAAGATTCCTAGCCAACATCAACAGCAACAACAACAACAGACAACAATCAGCATAAATGGGAAGAACCTGAAAGAAACAACCTCCTTCACCTACCTGGGAAGCATCGTCTCAACTACAGGCGGAACTGACGAGGACATCAAAGTCAGAATCGGAAAAGCAAGACAAGCTTTCATTACTCTCAAGTCTGTATGGAGGTCAACAGCAATCAGCATCAAAAATAAGATCCGGATTTTCAACTCCAATGTGAAGTCAGTGCTACTATACGGATCAGAGACTTGCACTGCGCGTCATAAACAGCATCTCAAACAAACTTCAAACCTTCATTAACAGCTGTCTCCGCTCAATACTCAAGATCAGATGGCCAGAAAAGATCAGCAACAGGGATCTCTGGGAACGAACCAATCAGGAACCGATTGTGAAACAAATAGGCAGAAAGAAATGGAGATGGATTGGCCATACTCTGAGGAAACCATCAAGTGACATCACTAGACAAGCCATTGCTCGAGTGGAACCCGAAAGGGAGGCGGCGAGTTGGTCGTCAGTGCAAGGGTGACTTGGAGGAGGTCATGCGAGGAGGAGATGAAAGCATGTGGACAGACCTGGAGCAGGGTGAAAAAGTTGTCAGAAAACCGAAGGCAATGGAGGTGCGCAGCTGAAGCCCTATGTTCCTCTAGGAACTAAAGGATACAATAATAATAAATTGCTTCACGTCTGTTTTCCCTTCAAACCTTTGACTGTGTTATTAATAAATGGGTATTTGGTACCAAGGTTCAACTGCTGAATAAAGTCTACAAATGTTTACGCTACTGGACTGCGTAGTGTTGAAGCAGTTTCCATATTGCATCGCAGTCGACACTTTCAAGGTTGATGACGCTGTGGCAAATTAGGGGAAATATTTATATGAGACAGATTTATTGAACGGTAATTTTATAGCATTATTATTATTATATCCTTTAATTCTTAGAGGAACATAGGGCTTCAGCTGCACGTCTCCATTGCCTTCGGTTTTCTGCCAACTGTTTCACCCAGCCCCATGTCTGCCAACATGCTTTCATCTCCTCTCCACATGACCTCCTCCAAGTCACCTACACACTGACGATCAACTCCCCGCCCGCTTCCCTTTCGGCCTGGTTCCACTCGAGCGATGGCTTGTCTAGTGATGTCACTTGATGGTTTCCTCAGAGTATGGCCAGCCAACCCATCTCCATTTCTTCCTGCCTATTTGTTTCACAATCGGTTCCTGGTTGGTTCGCTCATTGCCAGAGATCCTTCCCGGTTGCTGATCTTTTCTGACCAGCCATCTGATCTTGAGTATTGAGGGAAGACAACTGTTAATGAAGGTCTGAAGTTTGTTTGAGATGCTGTTTATGACGCGCAGTGCAAGTCTCTGATCCGTATGGTAAGTAGCACTGACTTTACATTGGAGTTGAAAATCCGTATGTTGTTTTTGATGGTGATTGCTGTTGACCTCCATACAGACTTGAGAGTAATGAAAGCTTGTCTTGCTTTTCCGATTCTGGCTTAAATATCCTCGTCAGTTCCACCTGTAGTTGAAACTATGCTTTCCAGGTCGGTAGGTAAAGGAGGTTGTTTCTTTGAGGTTCCCCCCATTTATGCTGATTGTTGTCTGTTGTTGTTGTTGCTGTTGGTGTTGGCCAGGAATCTTCATCATCACTACAGCTGTTTTATCTATGTTCACCTGTAGTCCTATCTTCTCTAAATGCTTCTTCTGCCAGCTTGTTGCTTTTCACTTGCATATATTCCAGTTTGTGGAAAATCAGACATATATCATCGGCAAAGTCCAGATCCTCCAAGTTTTTTGTGTGAGTCCATTTTATGCCTGTTTCCTCATTCCCCGTTGTCTGTCTGTCACATTATCCAGTCTACTGCAATCAGGAAGATCATTGGCGATGGAAGACAGCCTTGCCTCACTCCCGTCCTAATCAATATCTACCAGGGTGTAAACTGCTTTAATCATTTTTTCGCAAAAATGTTTTATAATCGTGGCATCAGTTTTTAAAAGAATATATATAGTGGTTTCACTATCGTAGAAGTGACAGAAAAATGAAATTTTATGATATCATGAGTTATCACTGTTATAGTTAAACTATAAAATTTTTGCACTTCTGGGAAATATATCATGTCTTATGAAAATTAGTACAAACATTCACTATTATTACGCACGCAATTTTTTCACAAAAGAATTTCGAGTATATTAAAAATAAATTTGTCAAAGCAATATTTACATGAAGTGGAGCAAATGTCTAACAGTTTGTCAGCTTTAAGAATAATTTTGTCATTTTTGCATACATAGTACCAATGAGACTAGACTGTTTTGCCATTATCTTAATACTAAATTTAGAATGTGTATATCAGTTTGATGAATTCAAATGACATAAAACACTCATGCTAGTGTCAAACATTTTCTTTTTCGTTGCTTTATTTCCTCAGTGGAAATCATTTACAACTCAGATGAATCGGTTTTTTTAATTCTTGCCCTGAAGTACCCTAACTCTTCACTACCACTCTTAGTTTACGTTCTGGATTTAAAGATAAACTTCCTGACTTCCACATTTTTATGTGTATCTATCAGTATGACTGCTCCTATGGAGCCAGTTAAGATAGGAAGTACAATTAGGCGTGTTTATCATCGGATTTACTACTATCATCCTGTGAGATTAAGCAGGAGACAAACAAGATCCATTCGCTGCTGTGGCCTAGCTCATTTTGTGAATACATATCACAGCACTGATGCTATAAAGCTTTCACAGTTATATACCGTGTTCCAACCAATATTAATCTTACCTTACCAGCTTATCTGTTAAATACTGCAGAAGCCATCACAATCCACATTAAGAGGCCTATCCTTATATCTTCAAAAGCAGTTTATTCGAACACCTTTCCTACTATGCTTAACGTTGCATAAATTCTCTTAAATCTATCTCACATTATATTTAGTATTACATTTTTTATGCTTGTTATAACTCATGCACCATTCTTGAACTGTGATCCCATTGATCTTGAATAATATGACATTATTGTGTATAAATATATTGTTAATGATGATTATTCCAGATTATTACTTATATATATATATATATATATATATATATATATATATATATATATACTGTACAGCTGAACAAGACATTTATCGAAAATATTCTTTGCTTGAACTTTCTTTTGTCTGCCAAATGCCTCAATGAGAATTTACGCCACATTCTGAGTACACTTGTAAACGCCTATCGAATATTCACCAACAGCAGTATTTTTCTTGAACATGCTTTAAATAGTACAGTTTATTTTATATTCAGTAATGCTCTAGTTTACTTGAGAATGCAAACCCATCACTATGTCTTTTGTAAATGATTTTTTGATAGTATATTAAATATTATGTAGATAAACAAGCAAACATAAAATAAATTTAAGAACAAAAATGTCCATGTCTAGGTTAGTAATTCAAATACTGAACACATCACTAGTCGAATTTCACAAATTAGGAATAAGAAACATTGACAGTATGAAATTTGCTTTATATTTTACGAGATACTTGTTTTATAATGCAAAACTGTTTAGGTCACCAAATTTCAGCACATTGACGTCTTGAAATTCTTTTTTTATTTTCCGAAACTTCCCTGGAAAAAGAAGACATTTGTTTTATTTCTGAAACCAATTCGTTACAGATAATATTTACTGTGTTAAAAATAAATATTAATTTTAGTTTTCAATAGACCAGGATCCTAATCTCAATAATACAAATACATTGATTCTGTTTCATCAACGAAGTACAATGGGACTGTCGGCAGTATATATTTGCAAGTGTGATAAGGTAAGGAAAGCACTAATATTCAAGTCGAATAATACTTCTTTTGGACCTTCCTCGTCTTGCTGAGATTTATGATGGGAAGTACTACTAATAATCCTGAACAACAGGAATTTCTCACTAGCCTTAGGCAGACTTTGTAATGTAGATGGTGAAATTAAAGAAATATATAAAATAGCATTAAATACGTGTAAACATGATGGTATAAGATGCACTGCTTAGTCATTCAAGAGGGATAAGATTATGAGTGCAGTAGGACTGCGATACATTCATTCTAGTGTATTTGGATGGCGCTACAACATGTCATTTACTGTAAGGCCTGAAATGGTTACCAATGCATTTATTTTAATATTAATATATTATTATTGTTTTCTTTAGTTGTAAGAGGAACAGAGGGCTTCAGCCGAACGTCTTTATTGTGTTCGGTTTCCTTCCATAGTTTTCACCCGGCTCGACGACTGCCAACATACTTTCACCTCCTCTTCACATGACCCCTTCCATGACACCCCTCGCAGTGATGACCGACTAGCCGCTTCCAATTCGGGCTCCAGTAGAGCGATGTCCTGGAGTGTGATGTCGCCTGATGGTTTTCTCAGAGTATGACCAATCCAATCCACTTCCATTTCTTCCGGCATATTTGTTGTACGATCGGTTCCTGCTAGGTTGGCTCGTTCATTGCCAGAGATCCCTGTTGCTGCTTTTTTCTGGCCGGTCATCTTATCTTGAGTAGTATTGAGCGAAGACAGCTGTTGATGAAGGCCTGTAGTTTGTTCAAAGTACCCTTCGTGACGCACTGGCTAAGTCTCTGATCCATATAGTAGCACTGGCTTCACCTGGAGTTGAAAATCCTGATCTTGTTTATCACAGTGAATGCTGTTGATCTCCACACAGACTTGAGAGAAATAAAAGCTTGCCTTGCTTTCTCAATCCTCACATTGATATCCTCGTCAGTTCCATCTGCCTGTACTTCAAACGATGTTTCCCAGGTGGGTAGGTGAAGGGGTTCCTTCTTTCAGACTCCTCCTATTAGTGTTAACTGTTGTCTGTTGTTGTTGCTGTAACTGTAGGCCATGAGTCTTCATCACCTGAGGTCCTATCTTTGGTGCTTCTTCTGCCAACTCATTGGTTTTCACTTGCATATCTTCCAGCTTGTGTGAAAACAGAAATACATCATCGGCAAAGTCCAGATCCTCCGAATTTTTTTGTATGGGTCCGTTTTAGGTCTGTTTCCTCACTAACCACTGCCAGTAGCATTATCCACTCCACCTCAATCAGAAAATTTATTGCAGATAGTAGCCAGCCAGACTTGTCTTACTCCCGTCTTCACTTCGAAAGATTCCGTGAGTTTCTATTTGTGGATTAATGGACATGCAGCGTTGTCTTGCAACTGTCGGATGAGTTGTATATTGTTGGTGGCAACCTGTTGTAGTGAAGAAGTTTCCAAATCACCTCTCGATCAACACTGTCGAAGGCTTTCTGAAAGTCAATGAAGTTGAGATAGAGAGCTGACTGTCATTCCAAGCTCTGTTCAATGATTATCCGTAGTGTTGCCATTTGGTCAACCCATGATTTGTTTCTCCTGAATCCAGCCTGTTCCAGTCGAAGTTTTTCATCTAGAGCGTGTTTGATTCTCTCCGGGATGACGTGGATTTCAGTTTTGCTCGTCGATGCACTGGACAATCTTTTGTTTCACAGTCCTTCTCTGTTCTATCAGCCTCCATGTGTTCATGGTAAGCCGCTGTTTGTCCTGTTTCCTCTTTCTGCCTAAAACTTCCATGCAGCTTTAACTCCGTACAGCTTGCAGATTGTTCCAGTGCTTTTCAACTCTGGTTTCTTTGCAAGTGCTGAATTCTGTCTCCGCCTTTTTCCCTATGATCGCAGTGAAGATGACCTTTGTGACCTGATCGTCCAGTTTTTGAGTATTTAACTTGGCATGTGGTCTATATGCAGCTCTCATTTATTTGATAGGTTTTAATTTAATTTGGAGTGTTCTCTGAACGAGACAATGGTGTGAGCCTACGTTCGCTCCTCTTCTTTCAATGCATATTCTATAAATCTAAATCTAAAAGAAACGTGTGTTACTCTGCAAAGAAAATTTCAGTTTGTTTATTTCCCTTTCACTATAATTCAATACACAATTAAGACTTAGAATAGATAAGATTAATGATAAATGTTTACCTGTTTATCAAAATACAAATGTAACTTATTCCTAAGGTTACTCAAAGATGTTAGCTTAATAAGCAATCCAGTAAAGGCATCTACATATTAAAAGAAGCTTTAATCAAAGCTGTGAATAGTTAAATTCCCTTAATTTTCCTCTTATAATGAAGTTAGATATGAGTATTATTAAGTGCACAGTTATTGCTGATCTTTTTTCTCTTTCAAAATGAATAATTGTTGTTTGATTGTTATCTATTGTGTCGCTATCTCCCTGTAAATAGTAATGTTTCTAAATGCACATACATAAATTAACATTGTGTTCAGTGTTTAAGGCTAAAAGCTAATCTGAACTCAATGTACACTTCTACATTAGAAAACAGAAAGATTGAGCAAAGAAATATTTACTTTTCAATTAGATCCTCATCTCTGACTCTACTCTAATATATATAGCATTTTTATTACAATACACAACAGTTTACCATTCAAGTGGTGATATGTTTGTTAACGATAATTAGTCAGTGTCAAAATGTCAGTGGCTTAATAATTAACAAAGCACACAGGTTTGGCTTCTTCAGGTGGATTCCTATTGCTTCAGCTGTCTGTAGAAGACGAGCTTCTACATTACGCATACAATGTATCAGCAGCACACATTTATGCTAGAATATTCTAGTGGTTATGCCAAGACATCTTTCTTAGCACATATCACAGATGAGTTGAAGTTTAAAAATGAACTTTTATCCTTTTTAGACAAGTTACAGTGTAATCGACATTTATCATAGCAGTAAGACGTTTGGCTGACAGTCTATTTTTGAAGTGCTCATTAACAATTCATGAGTTTAATCACAACAGCGAAACAACTGGTGTTGAATAAAGTTTTACTGTTTACTAGAAAGTGAGCATATATGTATATATCTGTAATGAAAGAATACATTTGAATTTGTACGATGATATCATTATCAAAATATAACTCGATGAAGTTTCCAAACAGTTATCAGGAGATAAAGTTAAAAGCTGACAGTGGTATTAGTGTTTTGTAGTTGAATTTGAGTTCATAATACCTATTCCAGAGAGAGAACGCGAACACAGGAGTATTCGCAGTGTCACTTTCTTCCATTTCCTTTTTTTTTTAACAAAAACGCAAAACGGATACATAATTTATTCCACTCGAACAAAAATTTCACTTTACACAGTCAGAAATTCATTCAGCATAGAAAAAAAGTAAGTTACCTCAAAGTTTACGTCTTCCCAAACATCAGCTACATGAAATTTCTTTTCCCTACTGTCCGTAAAACAAAAAGATTATTTATATATTAGAACAAACATCACAATATTCAACTTGCAAACATGTACAAAATGTAAACATGAAAAATCCTGATAGGACGAAAATCAGATGAAAGACACTTATTCTTCTTATTCGTCTATGAATTCTGAAGGAACAGTCTCTGCTTTTAGGCTCTTATCTAGTCAACGAAATGTTTCATACTTGGTAGCATTCATCAATCAGTTCGTTTGGCTAAAACACTGACTAGATTCAGAAGATGGAAGGTATTAATTAAATTTCTTGTTGAATAAAAGTAGAATCGTTTAATCTGTTCTCTAAACTCTCTGTCTTTGCCTATCAGAAGTTTTTCACTGGTATATTTTAGGAAATAAAAGTAAGGACAGAAGTTGCATCTAGACAATTTCGTGAATTATACCCAAAAGCCTACTGAGGATATATGGGCTGCTGCAGCGTAAAGTGTTACATTTTAGAGCTACGTCTAATAATTCACTATTTAGACAACTACGTTTTCAGACGTATTTTTATACTTGCGAATGTATGCAATCAGTATAGGTGTAAAACGCTAGTCAAGAATTAATAAAACATTCAAAAAATACCTTGGTAATTCGAAACTTCGTACATTGGCTGGAGGAAAAGCATAAGGCATGGCATGCCAACTATTTCGGCTGAAAAATTCAATAATACATTTCAGGTTTATGTTAGGTATCACTTGAAAATAGTATGTGACTAAAACAAATATATGAAGACTTCAGAAATATTCCATACACCTATAAAAGTAATTAATTGTAGTGAAAGCTGTTATTAGATATTTAAATCCTGATAAAGTACCCAGGATCTGTTTATACTTAGAATTTTTGTTTATCATTGTTCCCTTTTACAACATTAGGTTGATGGGTCTAAGTAACAAATGGATACCACAAGTGGTGTCGTGGTTTTGATTACCTTTATAGATATATGAATAGGTCATGGGATAAAATAACAGTGAAAACTACTTTCCACCCAACGAATCATTTGCACAGTCAGAAGTAACTGGAATTGACTGGATAATAGCACTGAGCAACGAAATCTCTACACAAAATTGTAGGAATCCCATATTAGAATGATTTTATCTGACAAAACAGGAAGTGATATGGTATTATGTTCCGGTGACGTCTTGAGGACAAATTATTGAGGTAATATAGTATCCTAAGGAGGAATGGACTAACTCATTGTAGCTAAATAAATCTGGTATACCATATCTCCAATGCCTTATTTGCACATCATTTTCAATTTGGTCGAATATCACCATATCCGGTAGCATGCTGGATCCTTTACAGTATTTCTAATGTTTTTCCCACAGTTATGTTCTTCAATTGCTTTTATCAACGTCTGAAACATTTTGTTGCTTTTGTGATTTCGTTTACTCATGTAATACTTATATCTGATTATGAGTAGCACGCACTACAGTATGATCTGATTATTCCACTATTGAATTACACTCGTTCATTTTGCTAAAATACCGTTCTTATACTAAATAGAGAAATAATGTAAAAAATGATTGTAAATGGTGAAAAACCAAAGACGCAGGTGTGAAAACAACTGAATCACCCCAAATGAATGAATGAAAAGTGAAATAGTCATCTGAAAACTGTAGTGTTTAGTTGAACACAATGTGAGAAAGTAATTTGAGTAATATAGCAAAAGATTTCTGAGGATGAATACATCACTTTGACCATGATGACCTAAACACAGAGCCTAGGCAAATCACTGACAACTCTCAGCCATCGGACCAGTTAAAGATTTTATAAGATTCGCTGATTTCATTTTCATTTTCTATGATACATTTTTGGTAGTGTTCATTTCTAACAATGAAAAAAGTTATATATATTTATATATATTTATACTGAATCACGGTTCTACAAACAGTAACATTTCTTTTTCTTGGCTTGCAGACACGTATAATCCTTACTATTCATTCGAATAAGATAAAATAAATCAACGAAGCGAGTTGTATGGATACATATTCAGATGAACTGATGTTTCCAACTTGGTGCTATCTAGTTTTGAATAAAGAAAACTAATTTGACGGTTTCCCTGTACAATTCACTGAAGAAAAATAGATCTTCGAAAACAACGTTCATTTCTTACTTTAAAAGCAACGTGGTCATTTTAGTAGCAGTTTGTTAAGTAAAGTTTTATTTGTAAGCTCTGAATAGTTGATGGATAAGTGGATACTATTCAGGTAAAAAATACCAATTCGTGGTTAAAAATGGTCTTCGAATTTTGATATACATGTGCGTCGGTGGCACAGTGGTTAGGACTCTCGCCGACCATGCACATGGTCCGAGGTTCGAGCCCTCGCCGACGCACACCTGATATCTATGGTCGGCCTGCAAAATTTGGGCTACCGATATCCATGCTGAAAATTCCATACTTGTACCAAAAATACAGTGTGTGGAATCAAGCTGTAATCAAAAAAAACTTTTAAAGGACTAAACGGAAGCTCGGAAAAGGTGATTTACATATTGAATTAGGTGTATTCTCTGAGTTGGTTGATTTAATTGCAAAGCTTTTGTCGTCCTTCTACACGACATCTTCAGTGCAGGCTTCAGTATAAAATGAACTCACTTGAATGCGCAATGAATAATATAACTAGGTCTCCTGCGAACCATAGTCATGACTGGTTGTTGATTTGCATCTCTACTGATCATTTTTATTGACTTAGATTTTGAACTTTCTTGTCATGTGGTCTACCCTTTATTCTCTGGTAAATTTGTTCTATAGTAATGTGTTAGTGAATTGCTAATTCACTCGAGTACCAGGCTTCTAGAAATTTCGTAGCATTTTTTGTGCCTTTTCTATTTAAAATTTCCATATTATCTCAATCAAACTGGTGTCTACGTGCATTGATGTAAAAGAATATGTATCATGTCTTTTTACAGCTAATTTGTCTTCTTGGATTCAGATTGAAAAGGGACGCTCACTTTGACAGTTGTAGTGTTTGTTGGATTTCATACATTTGATCTTGTAAATGGTATTAATTTTATCTTCTTTTTATGTTGGACCTTTTGGCTTACACATTTTTGTAACCACTAACCAAACTTGGTTTCCTGGATATTACAATGACCAGCAGAGATGATGGGACGATTCAGTGATATATTTTTCGTAAACAGACATCGAGTGGACAATATCTTCATTTCATCAGTTTTGTTCCTATCCAGTATAAACGTTACCTAGTGAAGTGTTTCAAGGGCCCGAAAAATATGCACGAGTGATACATTGATGGATGAGCTTCGACATATACATTCAGTTTTATTAGCTAATGATTATTCATTATAATAAAGGTTTTTAGTGAAATACAAAAAACCTTTATCATAATGAATATCATATACCCAATGCCCAAATTTTCTCAAACCGTTAAAAGTGAACTTGGTTTGGACATATATAAGCTAATGATAATCTAGAAAACTTTATCATTTGTCACAGTAAGGATAGACCACATTTAGAAAAGACAGCTTCTGTACCAAAGAAAGCTATCTTCATTAACCTACCATTCAAGGGTGACCAGATTATGCAGTTGAGAGCTCAAAGACTGCGGTCAGCTATCAAACGCACATTCCACACCTCAACTCTTTTTCTCACATGTCGAATATTTTCAATCCCTGTACCTAAAGGACGAAATTCTTTTGACTCTACTTTAAACCGTATCTACAAGTTCACCTGCAGTTGCGGCGACACTGATATTAGTATAACCAATAGAATATTTCAATGTTGCCGAAGAGAACGTGTTCCGAAATGATAATTGAAACAAATAGAAAATCCCAATGCATTTTATCTGAATAGAAATCCAGCATCATTCATTGCAAAGCACTTATTAATATTTAATCGCAAAATCAATATTAATGACTGTTTCACAATTATTTCACATAACTCTAATTCAAGGTTATTGAAGCTGATGGAAGCACTTTGGATTAATCACATATGGCCTAAACTGTGTGTACGAAAAAAATAGACTTCAACCTTCGCCTACCATGGACTACTTGACTTATTTAACTGCGAGTGTTCATTAGTATTTATTTTTGTTTTATATATTTTATTAATTATCATGCCCTTTTATTTTATTATTGTAAACCAAATTAGTTGTAAATGGGTCGAAAAAAAACTACGAAATGATATCATCTCATGAAATTTGTCTTCTAAATGCCTTATTCAAATGTATCAAGGAGACTAATTGTTTTAAATCTATTTATGTGTACAGTGTCCGAGGGTTCTCTGAACTAAACTAAATTTTCAACATAGAACTTTGCAAAAAAAGGCAGGACTTCATGCAGCCTAACTTCATATAGCCTTCATAAAAATAAACAAAGGACCAAAGTTCAGAGAAACCATAATGAAAACAAATGTTCAAAAGCAAAAATAATTACAGAGAGAATAATGAAAATTTAACGCACATAGGGCGGTGACCCCGAGATATGCCACAAACAGTTTTCAGTAGTAGGTCCCCGAATGTCACAAACATCCCAATATGACAGTGTACACTTTCAACCAAAAGCCATAGATTAGGTAGATTTATAGCATGTTTAAATTTGATCATCTCTCACTCTTTTCCAAGTAAGTCGTATGTCACCTACCAGGGCTCAACAGTGATGGTGGTTATCTGGCTTGCGCAACACTTGTCCTAGCCATTTCCGACACCAAGTTTGCTTTAAAATGGTTTTTATGATACTTAGAAAATGGAAGCGCTGAACCTTCTTTCATTGGTCTTACTTACATAGTTTAAAACAGCTCAGTACAATGTCAGTTGTTTTATACAGTCGATATACACCAAAAGCGTGCATATGTACGGATAGTCACCTACATGCTTTTTCCTGTTAAAAACATTTTTTTGAAGTAGAGCCTTTAGTTACAAAAGCTTAAAAATAGCCTAACTGATATATTCTCTCATTTAAGTATGCAATGTATGCTGTAATATTCTATTACAGTGTATAAATGGGAACACAAACAGTCATGTTTTGCTGGCCTATAATTTCTTCAGAATAAAATAAAACTATCATTATCGTTATTATTATAATCACTCAGACAGACTTGTGTATGCTTGCTAAGACAGAGTCAAAATCTTTGCGTATATGACGCTTCGACCAACTTTTTTAGATATATAAACGTAATTTATCGGAAAGGCATCTGTCTTAAAACAAGTGAGACAATTTTTTTCAATGCACCCAAAACGCAGTTTTGATTTTCACGCTTCTCATTAGAGTTTTTGAGACACACAAATTTTATTTACTGTAGGCTCAGTATGCAGGAGCACATTTTCTCCATATTCGTTTCCGTGTAATTTGCATTTTGAAAGAATTTTTAATTTCTCACAAGTGAGTATAAAACAAAGCTTCTGAATGCTGTTTCGAACTTACTAGTGACTATCACTAAGAGATATTTCTCGTGCTTAAATGCTAAGATGTGATCGCTCGGCTACCTAAATCTTGTATGCATACGTTCAGTAGTCAATGATTTTAGAAATTACTAGCACCCTAATAAGAATTAACGTATGGTGAAGATTCCAATAAGGGGATATTTCGTTTTTGTGAGATGCCAGCAGTAACAACTGACATCATACCAGTTTGTCCTGGAGGCTAGTCGCTTAAATGTCCCATATTAAACGGAAAATACTGTCCACTTCTCACTGATT